TGGGAAGGTCATGGAGCAGATCCTCCTAGAAGCTATGCTAAGGCACATGGAAGGCAGGGAGGTGATTCTAGCCAGCCAGCATGGCTTCACCAAGGGCAAGTCCTGCCTGACCACCCTAGTGGCCTTCTGTGATGGAGTAACTATATCAGGGGACAAGGGAAGAACTGTGCTGTCGTCTATCTGGACTTCTGTAAGGCATCTGACACAGTCGCCCACAACATCCTTCTCTATAAATTGGAGAGATATGGATTTGATGGGTGGACAAGGAATTGGTTGTGTGTTTGCATCCAGAGTGTAGTGGTCAATGGCTCAATGTCCAGATGGAGATCGGTGATGAGCGGTGTCCCTCAGGGGTCTGTACTGGAACCAGTACTCTTTAATATCTTCATCAGTGACATAGGCAGTGGGATTGAGTGCACCCTCAGCAGGTCTGCAGATGACACCAAGCTGAGTGATGCGGTTTATACACCTGAGGTGCGGTTTATACACCTGAGGGATGGGATGCCATCCAGAGGGACCTGGACAAGCTCAAGGAATGGGTCCATGTGAACCTCAGGGGGCTCAACAAGTGCAAGTGCAGGGTCCTGCACCTGGGTTGGGGCAACCCCCAGTATCAGTACAGGCTGGGGGATGAAGGGATTGAGAGCAGCCCTGCCGAGAAGGACTCAGGGGAATTGGTGGATGAAAAGCTGGACATGAGCCGGCAATGTGCGCTTGCAGCCCAGAAGGCCAACTGTATCCTGGGCTGCATCCAAAGCAGCATGGCCAGCAGGTCGAGGGAGGTGATTCTGCCCCTCTACTCCGCTCTAGTGAAACCCCACCTGGAGTACTATGTCCAGCTCTGGAGCCCCCAGCACAGAGGAAACATGGACCTGTTGGAGCAGGTCCAGGGGAGGGCCACAAAAATGGTCAGGGGAATGGAACACCTCTCCTATGAAGACAGGCTGAGGGAGTTGGGGTTGTTCATCCTGGAGAAGAGAAGGCTCCAGGGAGACCTTATTGCAGCCTTCCAGTACTAAAAGGGGGCTTCTGAGAAAGATGGGAACAGACTTTTTAGCAGGACCTGTATCAATAGGAAAAGGGGTAATGGTTTGAAACTAAGAGGGTAGATTTAGACTAGACATAAGGAAGAAATTTTTTACATCGAGGGTGGTGAAACCCTGGCACAGGTTGCCCAGAGAGGTGGTAGATGCCCCATCCCTGGAAACATTCCAGGTCAGGTTAGACGGGGCTCTGAGCAACCTGATTTAGTTAAAGATGTCCCTGCTCATTGCAGCGGGTTGGACTAGATGACCTTTACAGGTCCTTTCCAACCCAAAGATTCTATGATTCTAAGCAAAATTTCCCCCATCCTGGGCTATCAATTCTGTAATTTTCCTGTAATTTGTCCTTTCAGTTTTTCTGACACTATCAGTCCTCAGCATTGTTTTGTAATAGCAATGGCATGATAGACCTTTCTAGGCATTAAAGTTCTAATGAACATGGCAGCCATCCTACTTTGCTTCATGACTGCGGAATCCAGAATTTTTGAGACTAGAAAAACATTAATTGAGAAGAGTTGTGTCTAAGTTTAGCCATTTGTGTAGCTGTGGCCAGGCTCTTCGTTGGCTTCCCCTAACATAAACCAGCACAGAGAAACCTGAGTGGCAGAAGTTCTACTAGAGAGGTCTTGTTAGATAAAAGGTGGCAACAAACTGCTTTTCACTGGTGAATCATGGGAGAGGAAAAAGCTGTCCAAGAAATATCCACTGCTGGCTAGGGTTAAATGTGACCAAGGGAAAAAGCACATGCTCTATTTTGGGATTTGTGCAGTGACCTCCCCTAAAAAAACTTTAGAAAATGCTCCTTGCCAGTCTACCTCATGAAGAAAGGGAGTGGTAGAAACCACATTTGACTTCCTCTTGAAGTCAATACTTTGTGTGTGTGGTAAGCAGCTGGGGCATCTTTTCAGAAGCTGTAAAGAATTTCCTTTTATAGCTAGGAAGTTGGGTAGAGTAGACTATATAAAGTTAATTTTTTTCTTCCTGTCCTAGCCATAGGTATAGCCTTGTGGTTGTGAAGCACAGTCTCAACAGAAAGTAACTCAATTATTTCTATCTTCATTTCCACCCACAACTCCCAAGGAATAGTCAGAAGATTTGACCTTGAATCTGAACCAGGAATTCCACCTCAGCCAAAAGGTATTCTTTATATTTGAAGTCTCTAGTGAAATACAGAATGATGGAATAAAAACCTTCCCTCACAGCTATTTCCTGTGCAAGTTAAAGGAAAACATTACCATTGATTATACTTTATATAAAGGAACCAGAATATGAGAATAGAAGGCTTAAAATACAATTTAAATTGACATCCTCTTCATAATAAAAGAAAAAAGTTGACTGGATTTTTACTTCTGCAAATGAGATAGTATTCTTAAAAAGTCCCATGAAATGGAGCAACATTTTTAACTTCCAATAATATGCTGCATTCTGTAGTACGTTTGATATAAGTATCTCAAGTTGTTTTACCAGTGTTATTGGACTTACTTTTCTATAGTTCTATATTTTAGATTAAACACTAACAAATAAGAGAGAGAAGGCTAAAACAGATTAAACTGCTGCCTCATGAATCAGTGGTCAGGTAGAGGACACACATTACTTAGCATCCAATGGCCACTTATCAACTTCATAAAATTCCTGTTGAATGTTGCAATTGCAGTCTGTTGATTACAACAGTGCAAGACTTTCCTAAAACAGGGCGGTCATTCATTCGAAAAACCTTCCATTGTCTTCCATACAAAACAAGGTAGACCTTTATGGTGTCAAAAGTTACATTAATTTCAAGTGAAAACTCAGAATGTAAGAGAACCAGCGAGAAAGCCTTTACTGACAGCAGATAAAACTTGAGATTGCAAGGGTAAAGATCTCCTCTAAAACTTCAGAAACCCATCCTGGTATTTTAAAGTAAGGATGATCTAGCTTAGGGAATGGAGAGATTTGAAACAGATTGTGCAGCCTTAGAATAACTGAGATGATTGAAAACAAAGAGCATTATTGCTGATGATTAGCATTTCACATGTCCTTTTACCTTGAGGGGCACAAAGACTACACGTAACAGTGAGTCTGATTGCTTGGCAGTAGCAGCCGCTCTTGTGGTAATCAAGGCTGATAGTTCTCAGAACAAGCAGCAAACATTTTTCCAGGAGAGGAATGACTGGGAAAATGCCTGACATACATGCACAGTAAAAAAAATTGCTATGCTGTTCTAAGGATGCAATATATTGTCTCATTGTTTTCTGGTGCAGAAACAACAGGGGGAGATGAAAGTCTTCCCTTACGTCTCTTCCAACCACGCAGAGAAAGTATTTGTAGGACACTCAAATAACCCCTTAAGTGTAACTCAACTGCTGATAAATGTAACAGATTTTGTTGTCAGATGAACACATAAAGAGTTGGTAGAAAAATGTAAGTTCCTTTATGAGAGATTCCAGTATTTTTAATACTGTGTTTAGCACCAGAATACTAAGATAAACAGCATGCTAGATGCTCATTGACGATAGCTAAAGTGTTAAATACAGACAAGAAGGGTTGTTTAGTGAATTATTTTGCATATTTGAAACTAATACTGCCAGTTTCAAAGGTAAACTTTAATAGAAAGTTCCAAGAAAAAAGTGAAAATGTCTGCAGCTTGTATGGTGAGGAAATTTCTGTAAATTAAATGTGCAAAAATCTGGATTTCCCTAATTCTATTTTTATTGCAAACAAGGAGAAAAATATTGAAAGCAATAACTCCATGAATAGAAATAATAGGAACGGGGTGGGTAAGATCAGAAAAACAAAAGTGGTAGCTTAGAAGGCAAGAATTATTAGGATAAAATGAAGATTATTAAAAAGAAAAAAAAAGCTAGACCTCGCAAAGAATATAAAAATAAATAGAAAAAAAAACCCCTTCAGTAAATTTCTTGTCTTTATAGCCTAACCACCCCATATTTTCTTTTCTTAGTTATATTCTTGTTTGGAAAGGTAACTGGGGCCCTGAAGGAGGGGTAACTTCAGAGAAGAACTTCAAAAAAGCACATATTATTATTAAAAGTAAACACTAGCTTCAGAGGCTCTAAAAGCACAAATTCTTGCATGGTTTGGATAAATATATTAATGAATGAATTCAAAATTAATATTCCTAGCTAAGAGTTTAATTAACTTCATGTTATTTGAGTGGCAAATATCTGAAAATTAGAAATAGATTTCTGTCATTTACCAGTTGTATATTTCCTGACCTTGACAGCACTTGTAAGAAGGTACTAAGATAAAAGAGTTACGTATTTAACTACTCCAGCTTTGCACAATCTAAAACACAGAAAAGGAAGAATATTGTGATGTTCAGTTCCAAAGTGTAGGTCTTGCTCCAAAAAGTTATTTGAGTACTAATATATCCATACTAATGGATAATTTTGTCTGTTGTCTCCGCTGGTGTTAATCTTTATTATCTCACCAATTTTCCTTCACCTGTATTTAACTGACGAAGCATGTGGATACTTGGATGTGGTAACTTTCTGCTTGCTGCCTTCCAGCTTTTCTTTTTTCCAAACCAGATGTTGAAGCTTAGTGTGTTTTTAATATGAGACAATGTGTACTTAAACTCTGACATAGCAGGTACATGCAGTTCTGCCTCATGAATATCTTGGGTCTACCATGTGCTTTCATTCATTTAATGTCAGTGGCTGGTCAGCAGAATGTGGTAATATAGCAGGTGGAACAGCAGCAGCTGGAAAGTGGTTATAAACAATAACATGTCTCAAAAGGAAAATTTCTCAGAAACTCAGAGAGGCTGAATACAGGCAGAGCTCTATTGTTTACTGAGACTTCATGGTCACTGAAGACTTGAGCATCTCCAAGATAGAGGATACTAGTCATACTCGGCATCCTGGTTTGATCATTTCTAAGCTTGCTTAGAATGGTTGCAAACTCCAATGGATTACATGGAAAAGTTTAGCAGTTGAATGAAAGAAAGGGTTAACTTACTGAAGTAAAAGCCTCTGTCCCCACACACAAACTGAAGAGCATCAACCAGCTCAGCACCACAGAGTGTTTCTGGGCCAGCAGCAGCAGAACTGGTTAAGGTAAGCAAACACAGGCCAAGGTAGAAGAAATGAATGTAGGACACAGTGTGCATCTTCACCTGCCAAAGAAGCAAAAGCAGTGTCAGAATTTCCCAACAGAGTCGTAACTGCACCCTTGTGAGTTGGTATGCATATGTACTGTAATTTGTTAGATAATAAACACAGTATCAGGAAATGCCTCACCATAATTTTGCAACTGTCTACATATTCTAGTCCATGTATTTTGTAAACCAATTACTTCCTCTGGTGAATATTCTTGGTTCACATTCACTTGTAGTTACAGAACCTTTTAGTAACTTCGATTTATGGTTGCTCCTGCAAGAGGAGGATATGGAAGAGTGCAATAGGCAAGCAAAAGGAAGCCCAGAATGCTAAGAGTAAGGAAGACTAGACAACCTTGAACTGTTTTTTCTGAGAACAGATAGGCTAAGAGGGAATATGACAGTTGCCTGCCAATGCACTGTGGGAGATAGAGGTGGCGTATGACAGAGAAGAGCTATTTTAAAGAATAACACTGGCACAAGAGTAAATGGCTGTAAACTGGGTGGAAGGAAATTTGGCCCAGTACAAAAAGGGTTCATAATTAGTACTCCATGGTTCTCCAGCCACCTTAAACAGGGAAATACCAGGACAAACCAAAAGAATTTTCAAGGTAGAACTTGCCAAAGTTACAGAAGAGTTGATCTGGGACCTTCCATAGTAGGGGACTGCATTCAATGACTCTTACAGTCCTCTGTTCCAAGCAAGTTAACATTCCTAAGCATTTGAGAAATTAAGAGGAACACTAGTGGGAGTCTAAAGGATTTGTATTTTTCCTTGATAGAAGCACTATACCCACATTGACCTCCATTATGTCCTCTTAGTTGGGTTTGACTATGAGGTATACACAGAGGTTAATATTCTTTTCTCATTTACATTTAATTACAAACTGTCTTTTTCCTGGACTTATGATTGTTGAAAAGCCAATCCTCAACAGGTGTAAATTTGCACTGTTCCATTTATCCCCTTCCTTTTATAACAATTTATATCAACCAAAGATCTTACACAACAAATCAAAGATGATAGCATTATTTTTTTTTTTTTTTAAACTAGGAAAAGCTATTTATATTTAGTAGCAGGACAGTGAAGAATGTGCTTAATGCATATTCTGGACTGATTTAGATCACTTTTCAAAAATACTAGCTTGAAAGGTGTAAATCTGCATTTAATTTCATTCTCTTTTAAGGTCAGCATTAGTATTGCAATCAGGTAAGAAGTTACAAACCTTTCTTGCACATACAGTTAACTTTGACTTAAAACTTCTTTGTTTTAACATACTAGTACAAAGTAATTAGGGTAAAATGATTAATCTTCCGTAAAGTTTCTTTCAGGGTTTCAGGGACTGTTTAGTCTTATTTTTTCACTGAACTTTTGAAAAACTTTAAAAACTGTTTAAATTATCTCTTGTCTGCTCTTGTGGGATTTGATCTAGTGGGGTATTGAGCCTCCTCTAGTCAATTTTTAAGAATTCTTATTTTCTTGGCAAGGCATCTTAGCACCTTGCTGGCTGAGTCCCCTATTTCAACTGAAGCTAAAGCTGAATAAGAGACAAATCTATAAGCAAGTCAGAATTTATCTCCCTTTTTTTCCTGGTATTTCTACTGTGAAAACAATGAACAAATCTAAATCTCATGATATATCATAAAAAGCAAGAATAATTATTTTCCTATTCGCAAGAGTTTTTAGCTGAGTTTGCCATGCAAAAACCAATAAGCTTTAATGCTTGGACATGACTTCAATGGCAGGTGGAGCAAGGTCAGATTATAAATGAATGGTGATAACACAAGGCATTGTTTCCTGTAATGAATCCATATCTTAACATCAATTTCTTTTTTCCCTTGCCATAATTTTGCATTTCTAAGATAAATGTGATGCACCTGCAGTTTAAGATGGTTCCCAGTTCTGAGGAGGTAAAGCAAGAAAGCTGTTTAACACACCACCTCAGAAGGCTCATAGACATTACAAATACAAGAACATTATGTATTTAACAATTTGTTCATGTATAACAAGTGGTCCAGAAATAAACATAAATCTTAGACATTTAACAATTTTGTATTTTTCAAGAGTTTTCAGCTGGGTTGCATTTTTAGATAAATATCAGCACTGAACTACAACAAAACAGATTATCTACTGTTTTTCCTTTAGTGGAAGCCAAAAGGCTGCACAGTATAAACCACAGAGAATTTCTAACTTTATCTCCAAATTTAAAAACAGTCAGGAATTTTCAAACAAGTAAAAACTTTGGGGAAAAGAAAACAGACTCACATGTTTCTAGGGCTCAATCAATTATTTGTTAAATTAAGTGCTGTTTCATCAAAACTACTTCCAAAACATAGTTTTAAACTTCAACTTTACTTCATCATTTTAATTATACATAACATTAGTTGATTCAATATGTTTGTGATAAAATCAAAGCTCCCATTTATGTCTGAAGGGAATATTCTTTAGAAAATACAAAGTTGTAATCCAATATTGCTTCAGGTTCTTTACAAACAGGCAAAGTACTTGCAATGTCCCCAATTTGACTAGAAAGTTGAGAGTTTAAAAGAAAACGCATTGGCATGTGGGTGGGGTTTATTGAAGCATCTAATTACATTTGGAAATTGAATACAGGTTCAAGATGAGCCGGGTTAAGTACTTCTTTTAGTTGCATAGAATGACTGACCATATTTTCACAGCTGGAATTTCCTCTTTTTTCAGTAAAATAACCAGCTTTTGCTGCATTCCTCTTTTAGCAGTTCAGAAGAGTGGCACCACAGAGGAATGTCATATATGAACAGTCTACATCTCTTTTTGCTTCTTAATTCTTCTGTATAAAACCTCTTTGTCTAACAAACTATCAGTTGGCACAAGTTGTGCATAAGAATTCTTCACAAGCTTGGTCATTTTAATAACATATAAGAACATCTACAATAATTATAAATATCTTAAAGGGAGCAATATTTTTATAGATAGCATGTGTTATAGAAAAAAAAATCAAGAGTTGTATTTGAAATTATATTTTGCTACATACAGGTTGGACCTGATTACCAAGCCATAGTAGAAGTATGTAATTAGTATGTAATAATAGTATTAACTAGTAATTATTATATAAACAAAGCATATATACTCTGGAATGGATCAAGGTTTAAATACTGTTAACTTTGATTAAAGAATCTGGGCTACATCTTAACCTAAATCAATATGTTCCATTGATTCCAAGGAAGCTTGGCAGGATGCAGCAGCTGAGGAATCAGCACATTACTTTTATGTCTCTTATGCCTTACTCAATACTTGAAAAAAATCATCTTCATCTTTCAAGTATATTAGGAGGGATGCCCAGTTATACATTAAGAGAATGGTTTCATCTACTGCAATTACAGACCTGCCCTTTCAAATCACATTAAGGAATGAGATAAATGTGTTTTAAGTGTAAGACACTCTAAAAAAAAATTCAGGTCCTAAACAATTAAAACAGGAGAATTCTGTCAACTGCATAAGTGTCCTTGCAAAATATTAAAGAAAAAAAGTTCTTGAAGGATATAAATTTGCTGATAATGGAAAGTTGAACTAGGGCCAATTGAAAGAAACAGAGGTCAATGCACCTACTGAAGCCAAATTTACTTAAAGACAGTTTATATTAACGTGTAGAAATTATAGGGTCATAACATGAAACTTCACATGCAAACTTTCCTGAAACAACCCTCCCTACAAGGGAAAACTTGGAGATGAACATGTAAAGGAATTTCCATTTTCTTTATGTACAATTGCTTAAGCTATACAAATATGCAAGGTCAGCAAGAGTCGCAGCTGGTTTCTAACGTAGAAAACAAACTGAACTTCACATTTACTTTTAATTTATGAAAGCAAAAAACAAGTAAGTACTACAATGCTGCCAGAAAATTGCTGCAGTGACAACATCCCTTAAAAGTTTCCCTGTGAAAGCATGAACAGTTTTTCTATGATTGTGTACAAGAAAACTGCAGAAACTTAACATGTGAATAATACCTTTTTTCCCTATAAAACCCTGCACCTGCAGAAAATAGCTAGAAGTTCTTGTTTTCAGAAGCATTAATTAACAATATAGAACATGATGTAAGTGGACCCTTTAATAATAACATAACTGAAATATTGCAAAGTTCTCTGAATAGAAGTGACATTTAAGACATGTAACTGCAATAGTTTACCCTTACAGTTATCTATGTAATTGCAACTATTACATACAGCCATTTTCCAGATCACACAAAATTGCATGTTCAGCAATTTGTAAATAATTCTCACTTCTAAAATAATGTTATTGAAAAGTGCACAATACTCCTCAAACCAGAAGCAGACAATACACAGTAAAATAAAACTAAAAAATTATTTGAAATAGTAATAAAGATTTACCTTCAAGAAATCACAAAAGCAGCACTTAACTAATTGTGTTGAAAGACTGTTGATTTTTTCCATTGCTTCTTAAAAGTGCAAAGTCTGGAAATCAATTTGTTAGCAGTAATGATGAGAAAAAAGAAATCCAGAGAGATGTGAGATGTTGAGAGCAATGTCACATTTCAATATTGAGGACTTTATTCCATTGCGCAGGCTCTATCTGCTCTGATTTTAGCAGTGACAGTGAGATTTAGCAAACAGAAGAGGGATTTAGAGAAAATCCTCACATTTATCTACATTACACAGACACTGTAGACAGGAAACAGCTGGGGGAGCATTTGCCTTCTCTCTCTCTCCCTCTTCTGGCAAAGTTACCGAGTAAGGACTTTTTTGGGCATGGTGACAAATAACATCATACCTTTGCATTTTAAAACTAGAGCACAGAAGCATATTTTTTTCCCTTTAAAAGAATGTGAATTAGTGACTGAGGGGTTAGCAGACAAAAAAGCTTATGCTGCCATGAAAAATAAGAATGTATTCTGGTTAACTTTCAGATAGCTATGTGTGCATTTGTATTTATGTGCGTGTCTGCACTTCAAATATATAAAAACTTACATACCTAAGGGCATTGTTTGTATATATGCATACCTTTGTATATATGTGCATATTTTATTTATGCATAGAGGCGCAAGGATTTTATTTACATAGTACAGAAAGACAGGCAGTCGGTTGTCTACTTTTTTCTTAATGCATCTTTACGTTATTAAACTTGGCACACCAATATGCTGAGTAACAATTAAAACCTCCAACTCTCTGTGCTATTAACCCTAAAATAGCAGTTTGTAATTTGCTAAAAATAACAGAATTGTTGAGCACTACTTGTAAATAGAGCAAAATAGCTTTGTGATCTTTTAGCAACCACACAGGAGAAGTCATATAATTTCCTAGAATTCCCAGTGCTATGAATATAGTAACACAAATAGCCTAGTTTGGTGGGCTTCCATGACATTTATCCTAAAGGTGCTGTTTTAATTATAAAGTTATTTTGCTCCTTTTTAGTAGTAATCGTCATAATTACTCTTGATAACAATTTAAATGACACTGGGAAAGAGAGAATTCAACTTTTGTTAGTTCTGCAATACCTAACTTTTGCCTTTTTAGTTTTCCTCAATTATGAGTATATTATAAATAACACCAGCTGGCCAGCAACATGCTCTCACGGGTTATGATGTCATTCAAATCCCTCAACTGTGCTAGTGGCTTGCAATGTGCTCCAAGCCAGCTGTTTTTCTATTTATAATGTATGCTTGCATTTCAATACTTAGCTATTGAGAATAAAGTTGTGATGCTGTTTTATGGATACAATTTGTACTTGTTACCCTTTGGTTTTGGAAGATGGCATTTAAAAGTAGAGGATTAAACAAGACTGCAGCTCCAGAGACCAAATACATGTCACAAACAATGCCCGATTTCCATAAAAGCTCTTTCAGAACACTTCATTTTGCCCCTGTCTCTTTCCACTCAAGTGAAAGTTGCATGCTGAGGTGCTAGCTGTGCTTCATCATTGAAAATAACAATTGAGATCATGTTGGCCCAGGTCCATTCTCAGTCTTCAGATCCACCTTGAACTATATGGTGCTTGCCAGGCAGAAAGGACACACTTAGTTGTCTGCATCCTCTATGAATGGCTAATGCTCTGCTCTGCGCAGTTTTAAATGGTGTATGGTTAGCTAAGCTGATTAATCCTTGGAAAGGATTTCTTCTAATGTAGCATAATGGCAGAAGCATGGGGGGCTTTGAGGCAAGTTAGTTTAGTTCAGGTAATACCAATATTTTAAGCATTCTAATACACATTTGTGCTGGAGGTACTGTACTTAAATATTCTGGTCTGTTTTATTCTTCCCTCTGCATTTCAAAGGTCATTGAATAGTGGCACCGTTCTACATGTAGCTTGACCTGTCCTGCTGCAGCTCATAGCCCATGTAGCACTTATTTCACCAGCCTTATAGAAGAATGTGGGAAGACAAATTATCAAAGCTCTGATATTCTTTATTTTTGACTTTTACAGTACTACAGATGGGTTCACATACTTCTGCTTTTTTCTTCCTAAATAACAGAAGGAATCCACTCATTCATCACTTCTCCACCGCCTGAGCTGCAAACCCTCGTTTCTCTCCTCACTGCTTGCTTTCTCATAGGTTCCACCACGCCTCCCTTGGTCATGAGAGCAGCATGCAGTAGAAGATGCAACTTTTGGCTTTCAGGGTAGCTGAGAATTGTGGTGTCCTCTACACAACTGTTAATCCTGTTTCTTTCCATGGAGACATTCTGAAGTCCTACCATTATTCCACCTGACTAGCCTAAGTTTCTGATGCACTTCACTTCTTTCTTGTAATTCTTGTTTTGAAGTGGTATTTCAAAAAGGCAGGAAAACAGAATAGATTCAAGAGAGGTTTTTGATAGCAATTTTTTAGACTTACTGTTAGACAGTGAAGTGCTTTTCCTCACTAAGGAGTAATTCCATTTTTTTTCTAGAAAATTAAACATTCCTCAGGGCATATTGATCTGGGGATCACTTCTTTCCTGAAATACAGCTTCTATTCTGATGATACATTCTAGTCAGTGTAGCAGTCTGTTTACTAATGGAGATATTTTATTTTCTCCCGTGTTAGATAGAATAGCTTTTACTTTATAAGAAATTTAGAATAAAGTACTGTATGATTACATTATTATCAAGTGCTTACATAGTTACATACATATACCTTTATATGGCTTCTTAAGTATAGCCTGGAGTGATATAATATCCACAAAGATATATGAAATGTGTGAGATATATAGCTGATAGCTATTTAGGAATTTATGTGCTCTGATCCTCATCTTTTGCACTTTAATACTCCTGTGATATCACTAACATGCTGTAATACTGTAGAGCTCATGTGTCAGTTTTTTCCAGGGAGAACTCCACTTTATAGAAGACAATTAGCAAAGCTATAATTAATTAATTATCCTAATTAATATATTATCCCTCCTTTAATTCTTCCTTAAAAGGTTAGAATGTTGCCACAATGCCTGAAAAAAACTGAACTACACAGTAAGGCAACCGGTATGCCATCCTCTTCCATTCTTCTCTATTGGATCGCTGTTACCTATATGCAGGTATTTGTTATCTGTAAGGGTTATTAATTTTCTTACATTGTGATTATGAGTTTTCTGGAAGCAAGATAGAACCACTATAATAGATATCACCTGAGAGGGTGATAGGGCTGAGAGCATGGTGGAAGATGGGATGGAAGAGAATAAACACAGTGGCTGGTGAGCAGCTGTTCTTCATTATATGAAATACAACAGAGACAAGATTGACTTTTATTATGTTGTTTTAAGGACATTCATCCTGCACAGGACATACAGAGATGCAGTAAGATTTGTACACTGTGAAAAGATGATTGAGCTATATTAAATGCCATGGGTAATGTGTCCCCTGTCCTCTCCACCCCCCACCAAAATGTAGAATAGCCTTTTGAAGAAGTAATGTCTTATCAGTCTTCCATTAGCTTACTGACTGGCTACTGAATTCAGTTCACTGGGCCAATGGGAACTGTATTTTTGGTCTCTTTTTTTTTTTTTGAGGTCCCAGTCGTATATTATACATTAAAGACATTATCTGCCTACATCTAGGCATCTAGTGACATTTTTAGTGCCGTGGGATATCCCACATGCCCCCAGCTTCCACTACAGAGTGATACTTATTTCCCATAAGTCCCTGTGTCCTATCTGTTGACCTCATACAGATTTCTTTCATACTTTAGGGCATCTCGAATGGCCTTCAGCACCTGCAGGTAACTGAACCCCACCATAAGGCCTTCTTTTGGCATGCTGATCTGGAATTCTTCCTTTGACTTCTTCATAAATAGAGATACTCTGTCTTCTGTCATTAACTATTTTTGTCATCCATTTGTGAAGAGATTTTGAAGTGGAGAATACAACAATTTTCATTGAATTTCACCATGATCTGTGTATATATTTTCCTTATTCTCTTTGCTTAGCCTCCAGCTTAAGCTGTTTTGGTTTGGAGCTATCTCTTTTTATTTGCTTCATAAATCATCTTGCTTACTTTTAGATAAGACAGAATGTTATTTATAATGTTAGTATTATTTCCTGAAACACACAAATTTTTGTTTATCTCTTACAGTCTCTAGTGAATTATTTGTAAAATATTATGTGTTTACTACTGGAGAAGTTTGGCTTTCTTTTTAGGAGATAACTTTGGAGAAAAGGGTGAAAGGGAGTATTTTCCTAATAGGCAGCATTGTGTTGAAGTTAATGATAAGTCAGGTATATAGTGGAAAATTCCTTTCATCAAGTTAGAAGTTAGGAAATCAAGAAAGAAATCATTTTACTAATTCATCTGAGCTAATGAACTGTTTAAAAAAGACCCCAAACACCTTTTCTCATGGTGGTCTAAGTAGCGTCATCACTACATGAAAAACAGGTAACAAATTTGATGGCGAGGATGACGGCATGCCATTTGAGCTGTCATTACATGGGCAAGATTGAAGAGAACCACAGAGAGACCAGTGCCATGAAAAGCAGTTTCTCACTTCAGCAAAACATGGAAAGCGCAAACTTTCTGAGGATCAAGTAAGTTGAAACATTTCATATTCGGTGATCAAGAAAAATATGGGTGTTTCAAAGAGCAGGATGGATGCCTGAGAACCTCAGTCCAGAATTAGTCCTCATAGGTAATATTGGTAGAAACAACTGGCGTTAGTAACAGGTCAGAATTAATTCATGGACTTGTAAACTGATAGTACTGAGTACTTACTCCACACTGAGTAGAGTAAGAATAGTAGCTTTGCTAAGATTGTAAGAAGGCAACAACTTTATTGCTTGCAACTAAGATGCAGTAGTGTGTGGTTAGAATGCTGTGATGAATAAAATGAAGTACTGTGTAATTTTCATTTATGATCTAAGTTAAAGTAGCTACCATTTTGAATATTTTTGTATTAGTATGTTTTTTCCCCCAAGTTTTAGAAACAATTGCTGCTAAAATTAATGCAAAGCCAAATATTGATCTTATTTTCCTACTCAAATGAAACATATATCAACTATTGGATATATTGTTTTCACAATGTAAATGCTTAATTTTTTAAAAAATTATAATATTTTATGGAAGTTACTTATCAATTATTATTAAGTGGCATTAGATTATGCCTACTTATGAATAGCAAAACCAAACAAAAAAGAAGTATTATTAAGTAAAAACCCGGAAAAGCTCAAACAAAATGTATTTCAACATTTTTGAAAGCATTTTTTTTCTTTTTTCAATT